AGAGAGAGAGAGAGAAAGACAAAAAGAAAGAGAGACTGACAAGCATAAGCTGGAGAGTGTGAATATTTTTACCTCTCAGAGTTTAAGAGATAAAAACTCAAGCTCATTTCCTTGCTTCTATATCTCCCTCCCTTCCCTCTAATGCATTTCTAATGATACCACATATTTCCTCCTCTCTCCAACTGAGGGCAATACTGCAACAGTCCAAGTTTGCTGTTGAGAACTCATTTCAAAGTTATCCTTCCCTTTATAGGCATTTTATGACCAAGCCAAATAAAGATGGATAGCACCAAGTCAGAGTAGGTGTCAGTGATGCATTTAAACTGCTCTCCAATGCAAGAAGTTGGTTTCTGTTTGAACCAGATGGGTGCCTCTCAGGATGCCGGGGGCATCACTGTAGGGAATGAACCCACATAATCTCTAACTGGGATTACTCTCAATAAAACTGCCCTCACTGCTTTGCAGAATATTTCCAAAACATCCTGAGGAACCTTTTCGCAGAAGTCAGGTGACACGAAATGTAGCGTATCAAGTTTACAATTTCAATTAGAGCAAAAGTGAGGAATGTGTATGAGATGACAGAGAGATGTGACAGAGTCTGTGTGTGTGTGCGTGTGTGTGTGTGTTAGAGGAATTAGTGTGAGCAATGAGGGATGTTTGCATGCTCATATTGATTTCAGACAATCAGTGGTGCGTATAAGAAGAAAACACAGCAGTCGCAGCAGTTATTCATTATCACCAATTATATTTCATAACATGTACTTCCCAAAGTACATGATCGTGGTTCATGTTTTAATGACTACAAGGATCATTTGTTTTCATTTGCAAGATAAATAAATTTCCTCTGCATACAAGATAGCTCTGTTTTAGCTGGTGGCCACACTGGAGCAGAGCAAATGTGTTCGGATGCTAATATACTGTAACTCCAAAAGAGGATTGGAGACCCAATCGCACACATATAGTAAAATAATGTGTCAGTAACTTCAAATTTAGTTTGAATAAGTTTCAGAAAATGGATTGATGGAATGTTTGTTTTGGTAGATTCAAACTTTCAAAGATCAGCGCATGACTGGCCCGCCACACACAAAAACAAAAACCCACATCCACACAACAGCACTTCCTGATGCCACAATCAATCCACAGACAGTCTATCTGCTGCCTAATGGCTCTGAGCTCTGTGGCTGTAGCAGGAAATAGTTAAGCTTTAGGCTGGTGTCATGTAACAGCAAAATACAGCACAGAGTGTATGCTTGTGGATGCATGTGTGTGTGTGTGTGTGTGTGTGTGAATGGTGCCATTGATTGACATAAAGGCCTTTTGTGTACAAATGCAAACATCTCATTTAAATGCATGCAAATATAGTCTACATGCATCAAAGGCTGCTTCCCACAGAGGTGGCCAAATTGGTTCTGCACACGGGCAATCACACTTTTGCTTGCAGTGACCACATGGAAAACAGGCCAATGTTTGTGCATAATGCATCAGCTTGCAGTGGACTATGAGAGTGAGTGACCTCCGTCTCATGTGACTGAACTGGCTCCCTTCCTCCCCAGCTCATTAGAGAGCACCAGCTGCATGGCCTACAACTATGAAGTCGGGGGGATAAACACTGTTTAGTGCTGAGAGTGACACTATTTATAACATACAAAAAGTAAAGCCAACTAGTTGTTGATTTGTAGACAAGGTCATAATCAGACATTTAATTATTGGTTGTTCTTAAAGGGGACAGACTATAGTGGTCTATTACTGTTTTGATTGTGGATATTTTACGCAAGTATTATATTGCATATCATTTTGAAATACTTTCAAGAATGTTTAGGCAGAACTTTAGGAAGGCAATTAATGCACTACTGTTGTTACTCTATTACAGAAAACATCCAACGATTTCATTTTCAAAAACATTTTGAAAAATACTTTTGTGTGGACTGAAGATAAAATGTCATTCGTTTATATTTCAATATTTTGCTTGTTGTTTGTAGCCTGCTTGCAGTATCACTTTAAGCAGATAAACATCTCACCAGCCTGCCCAGTCCTTCCCTCTGGTGTCCGGTGTCCATGTGTTTGTAGCTACTTTTTTATGTCCTCTCCTCCACGCACGCCTCAGCTGCCAAACGCGTCCATATAAAATGTTCAAAATGGACACGGATCTTCAACTAATTGTTTGTAAGGCGGGAACTTTTTCTTCAAAGTACATCACCCAACTCTGCCTGACCGTTTGTCGAACTGGCTGTACCGCACCGGACCGTTAGTGCAGTCAAGCTGGCGGAGTCCTGACCGGTTCTCAGTGACTGCTGAGCGGAGATGCTGGTGTCAGTGTAGCTGCTCATCATCCCCAAGTCCCTCCCCCCTCCTCCATCTATCCCTCTCTCTCTCCCTCTCTCCCTCTCCGAGTCTTTTACTACTGAGCTATTTATACAAAGGTGCTCTTGGAACATCCCATCAAGGGCTTTTCCTCTCACACCTCTGTGGAGAACACACGGTCAACACGTTTACACAAAAGGTCATTGCAACAACCCAACCAGTCAGTGCATGCAAAGTAAAAGAGATGTAACATAATGCAAAAAAAACCTGGAAAAACAAAGAAGAAGAAAATGAAAGCAAGGAAAAAAGAGAGGCAGGGTGCACTCGTATTGTGATTCTTATTGTGCAGAAGGACCTATTTTCAAACTATAGAACAGAGTATTTTGGCCTGAACACAGGCAGAGCTGCAGTGAATGACACGCACCCTCTTCACTGCTTAGTTCACTTGAAACAAGTTGCACGAACTTGAAAAGCAGCTGCACAAACTCAGAACTTGTTGCCTCCTCTTTTCTTTATTGGTATTCAGCACAGTAACAGGGTGCCCCTGGGGGATTCTGCTGGGCTCTCTCTCTGTCTCCCTTCCTTTGTCTGTGTGTGTGTGTGTGTGTGTGTGTGTGTGTGTGTGTGTGTGTGTGTGATGAGTGTGGGGCACCATGACCTAAAAAGTTCAGGAAGAGACAAAGCCTTCTTTTGAGGCCTCATTTCCCCCCTCACCACTGGCTTCAGAAAAACTTTTTGCAGGGGAACAGATCCAGAGATCATCAGTTTAGTTAAAGTGCTGTACTGGTGCACATACTAACAATACTTTAAGAAGTACAATGTTTAAATTAAATATGAATGTAGTGACTGACAATGTTAAGTGCCAGATGATAGTAGCTTTATATATGTAACTAAACAAAACTAATTAAAACCATGAACGGGATGATATCATGACATAGTCAAACATATTTAAAGTTCTATTTAATATTTTTTGCATTGTTATTTTATTTAATTTGGATGAATTACTGCACTCAGTATTTAATCATTACATATGAATGCAGTGCTCCACCATCAGTACTGTGCACTGTAACAATGCAAAGTGCTTGTCAAAACGGTATCGGCTTCTTTTTTCGAGATGCATTTCAAATGGAGACAGGCAATATCCGTGGATACCTTAATTTCCATCCAAATCAGACTGAATTAGTCAGGGAGCTGCACTTGTGCTGTAGCATTCATGGGAGTTTAGATGGGATAGTTATCACTGATCACAGACGGATACTCCAGAGACCGATGCTTCAGAAGAGTGATTCATCATATCAGAGAAATGCACTCACATATAGCCTGAGAGAATCACAGACACACGATGAAAACTCCGTGTCTCCCTCTGTCTGCTCTTAACACACACACACACACACACACACACACACACACACACACACACACACACACACAAACACACACAGTAATTATTACTCTTGCACAGGGCGTGTCATGTCTGATCACTGCCTCACATGTCATTGAGGACACTTACACACCTCCATTACCCTGTGAAAACTGATCAGTCTGTGTGAGAATCTTACAAATGTGATGGAAAGAAAAAAAGAGTGAGATTACAAAAAAGAAAGCAGAGAGAGACCTTTAATTTCTTTCTTAATTTCCCCTCTATTCTCTCATCCTCATCTCATCACAGCGAGAGAAAAAAATCGAAACTTTTCCATTCTAACGTAGTTCTTTTCAGAGCGATATTATCATGAGGAAAGATAGATTCCCCAGTAGAATGGCTTTCATAAAGCCCTCCCGTTGAGAGGGCACAGGGACAAACCAGGTCAGGTTCCAGCTGGGATATTAGATTCATATTTCATATGAAGTGCCTATTTCGCAACAGCGCACACCGTTTACTCTCATAATCCAATATGCAACTTGGTGCTATTTGACATGTTGTGGCAATTTTGTTTGAATCACCTGCTTGTTTTATGCAAGCTATTCACAGTGTATCACGTTTATTGGTGCTGCATTTGCAGCCAGAAACATTGGCTATTCTGCACCGTATCCCGATTTGAAAAGCTGTCAGAACCAATTTCCTATGATAAGTGTATGAGGACACCTGCTGGATATTTGTTGACATTGTTTCCTTTTCTTGCCAGCCACATATGACACAGTTTCAGTAAATGTGGCTTAATAACGTTTAGGATTCATTCGCTATGGGGGTTTATCAGATCTGAGAGTCTGCTAAAGCTGGTGGGTATCCAAACACATCCAAGAAAAATACAGATTGCTGGGTATCTTTTATTGCCACTTCCTCATTTTTTAGTTGTTCATCATAACCTGAAACACAAATATTCATTCATTAGAGTCAAATTGGAACAAGGAAACATGCCTTTGCTGTATGCCAAGTGGATATGCTTCTCTACAAAATAATTAAAATCCATTTGTGTGTCCCTCTTACCTGGTCGATCCAGTCGTTGAAAGCTGACACTCTGGTGAAGACAGTGGGTTTCTTTTCATAGTTGCAGCCAAGGCCAAAGACAAAGCTGGCAATTCCATGGACTTCCCAGGATCCCTCTGTGTTCTTACAGTTCAGAGGGCCACCAGAGTCACCCTGGACAGAGAGAGAGAGAGAGAGAGAGAGAGAGAGAGAGAGAGAGAGAGAGAGGAGGACTTATGTTATATGCATTTGGTGTAGCTGCTGGGGGACTATGAGAATCACAATCAGAATCATTGTTTCAACGAGTAAAATGGGGACACAAGAAACATTTGTCACATTCCTTGGCAGCTAGACAACACTTGAGTGTAATCTTTCCCTATGATTCCTTGGACATTTTTATTTGAACGCACTCATTGCATTCCAATTCAAAATTGCTTCACACACACACACACACACACACACACGCACACACGCACACGCAAACACACACACACTTACATTGCATCCAGCCACGATTCCATCGCCACCGGCACACACCATGGTAGTCCTGACAGCAATATACCACCAGTCAGGCTTAGAGCAGGTAGCATGGTCAGCCACAGGCATCAAAGCCTGCTGCAGATTATCAGCTATGGGGCCTCCGGCTAAAACACACAAGCAGAGTCTATTACTGTACCATCATCCAGATTCACTCGCCATCTTTCAAATCTGCTATACAACATTTCCCCCAGCGCAAAATTCACAGCCCGACCCAAATTTTCAATTTAAGAGTAATCCTACCCCCAGAAAAGTTTCATCCAAAATCTCAGGCATGTGATTTTCATCCCAACTTTGGAGGTTTCCACGGGTAACCAAGATCACGCTCACTAAACACAGCCCAGCCTTCCACAAACAGTGACTTACTGGAGAGCCTGCCCCATCCGGTGATGTAGCAGGGGTAGAGGTTGGACAGCACAGTGCCAGCAGCAGGGATACATGCCAGCTGCACCTGGTCGCTCAAAGTCACAGACTCTGACAGCTTGATCAGGGCAATATCATTTCTGCAAGAAAGACAGAAAGAGGAAAAGAGTTATCATTTCTGTATTGTACATTCAAATGAATCACCTCAATGGCTAATTTAATTTCTCTAATTTCCCACTGTGGAAAACGTCCAGCTGCATACTTGAGTGCAGTACTATCTATGGTTAAAGTGGGCCACTCTTATTCATGTTTTCTTACACTTTTTATTGCCTGTGGAGAAATATGAGATGCATGAAGGTGGAGAACTTGTGTCAAAGGAATGCGCTGGAACAAAGTGAATAAATGGAATTTCAGCCTCAGCCCACTTTGTCACCTCAACACATAATAGACGAGATTATGATTTACTGCACGTTGCGGCAGTGCACTCAGGTACTCAGACTGCGCTTTGCACACTGTACGGTGGTGCTTGTCTTACCCGAAGGCCACAAAGATCTGGTTCCATTTCTCATGGACAATAATCTTCTCAGGCAGGATGGCCTTGGAGCCAGTCTCTTCCTCCACCAGGTTGTATTTGCCCACGAACACCCTGTAGGAGAGCTTGTTGCTGGGGGGAGAGAACAACTTTTGTAGTTCATGACTTGTCTGATCCTCATTTCAATCAGGGTTAAGTAGGGTTAATAAGAGCAGAATGAGTACAGCATTTAACATAAGATCTGTGAGTATGTGACTTGTAGTGGTCAGCATTGGCGTTTTTGTTTTTATATTTCTGTGTCCCTCTGCCTTTCATACTTGATGCAGTGAGCAGCAGTCATGACCCAGTTGGCAGCAATCAGAGATCCCCCACATGTGTGCCTCCACACACCGTCCCTCTCATACTGCAGAGAGATCTGGACACGAAACAGGACAACATAAAGGATACAGTGAGAGGCAGGTTGCGGATGTATAGATGGGGGGGGGGGGGGGGGCATAGTTTGCTGACTTCAATTCAAAAGCAACATTTAAATGCAAACATTCCTGGGTCTGGAATCTAATAACCAGATACCGAACCAAAACGTTTGCCGGTGAATCTAAAAACATTGACAGATGTGTAGATATTAGCATACCTGCCAGGGCCAGCTGTGGGGCTTGGCATCTACTCCATTGACCACACGGGAAGTCAGGGGCTCGATGGGTGGGGTGCCACACCCAAGGGCTGGACGAGGAGGACATAGGCATGAGTGTGATGTATGATGAGATAGAGAGTGTTCAGGACGTAAGAGAACATTGAAATTACTTTTGATTCTTACATTAGGCACAACTTCATAATTTCAATAAACTTTGCTAGCTTCCTGTGTGGTAATAGGCTCGCACACTCACTCACACAAACTTGCAACCATACAGAAACAATTACAGACAGAATTAGGGAATACCAGATGTTCTTACCGCTAGCAATGAGCACAGAGGCCAGCACAATGGGGATCATGTTGATTGATGCTTCTGCTGAGGCACAGCTGGACCAACACTCTCTTTTAAACTTTTCACCACAGGCAACACCCAGGCCGAATGTGGCAACAAACACTCCTATTGGTTTGTCATGGCCTACGGGGATGAAGACGGACCAATGGCAGTGAGGGTCAGAGCAACTAAGTGTCTGACAGAACACACAGGTGTGTTTTCTGGAACATTT